TGGTTCCTCTGTTCATTGTGTCATGTTCTGATTGGTTGTCTTAGTCATGTGTCTTGTTTCCCATTGGTTTGTTCATGTCATCCTCCTTGTCTGCTATAACTAGCCATCATGTTCCCATTGTGCCTTGGTCGTGTATTGATGTTGTAACCCGCTGTTGGTGAGTCTAGTCTGTTCATGCCAAGTCTGTGTGTCTTGTTTGGATTATGGATTTCACCTTGTTTGAATAAAACTGCACTTGGATTCTCACTACGCTCGCCTTCAGTGGACTGATTCGTTACAGAATACACGACCCGAGACAACATGAACCCAGCAGTTTCACGCCTCCTCTGCCTGCGTCAAGGCAACCGGGCCATTGAGGATTATGTTCAAGACTTTTGTGGACTGTGCCATTTGGTGGGTTTTAATGATGTGGCCCTTCAGAACATTTTTCGAGTGGGTGTTGATGAACCCCTTCGTTCAAGTTTGCCAGGGGGAACTATTTGTTGGTCACTGGAACGATATATTGACTTTGTTCTGTTGTTGGCTGGGTCACCTCTTACTGTGGGAATTGTGGATGAGGAGCCACGCAACTGTGCTCTACCCTCTGCACCAGAGCATACTCACGTCCCGACTGTCTTGTCTGGTGTAGTTCACGTCATGCCAGTTACTCCAGAACCAGCTCACGTCATGCCTGCCAAGCCAAAGCCTGCTAACGTCATGTCTGCTACGCCAAAGCCTGCTAACGTCATGCCTGCTACTCCAGGACCTGCTCACATCATGCCAGGCTCACGTCATGCTGGCCACTCAAGAGATTCTTCACAACATGGCTGCCATTCAAGAGCTTCATCACAAGATGGCCGCCACACAAGAGTCTCTTTGCAAAATGGCTGCCCTTCTAGAGTCTCGTCACGTTGCAGCTGATCATCCTGACTCCCCGGCCAAGATGGCCGCCACGCCTGAGTCCAATTCAGGTCTTGTGTGATATTAACACTCTACATGTATGAATGTAAATTCAACAATATATTGTTGAAATAAAAGGTTGAATTACTCGTTATCCTTTTTTCAGAGTTAAATTTTTGGATTTTGCACACACCTTTATCCTAAGCGACTCACAAATGAGGAAGTATTGAGGACTAAGTGTTGTGATAGTCTAACGCAGTATAGTACACGTAATTTAATAAATAGAAAACGAGTAGAATAGAGTGTAGACGGAAGGGAATTATTAAGAAATGATCTAGTATCTTATATAAACTAGGATAGTATAACATAAATGTCTCAAATGAAGAGGACGGGTTAAAGCGATATTTTATTAAATCAAGCAAATTCCCAGAAATATTGTCCTCTAACATCTCCAACATGACAGCAAAAACTAGGAAACAAAGCACAAGGTCTAGCAATTACGGTTAGATGGGAAAATACTACAAGAGTGGTGAAACATAAAATTTTAAAGTGTAACCCCATGAAAAACTTTGCGGTTTATATCTCACAATGGTGTGACGAGGCCTAGCGCAGTAGCGCCATTAAACATGAGGATAAAGTCAAGATATCTAGCAATTTTAGGTATACTTACCAGGAATAAGCCTGGTGCATGAAAGACTTAGAACAAGTGTTGTTAGACCATATTGTTCTTATTGCCTCTATAAAGATTTGTACATTTATATTAATTTATGAACGCTGTTACAGAATTTGTCTTAGTGACATTCAATGGAATATTTTATTAAAAGATAATGCAGAGGACTGTTTGAGTAACACTGTCAAGTGTTCGCCCAACTACCGGAAACCTGTAACTTTATTATGATTATTTAGAAATACATATAAGCTTCACGCCTGACACTTTTGTAACTAATATTTAAGCTAAACAAACATTTACAATTGTGAAAAATTAAGAGAATTAAGAGATGTTAAAAACTGCTGGCCTCATGTTTTCTTAAAGACGAACAGCCAGACATGACAACGCGCAGCTACAGTTGTACCTGTTTCCTGGAACAAAACTAAAAGGCTGAGGCCTAAATCACAAAGACTGAATAAAACGGACTGAATCCTCGCTTTCGCTTAAAAACAACTGATTTATTCAAGTCGTGTTTAGTACAAAGAAAATAGTGTTTCCTCACCATCTTCAACTTAAAGTGTTTTAAATGTACAGAGAAATAGTAAGATTGAGGCCTTGTGTCTCGTGGCAGCTTCGTAGACAGACCAGAAATGAACACATAGTATTATTTCAATTAATAACGTGTTAACAAACAATGGTTCTTTGTGTGATTTCATAATAAAAGCATCTAAATTGTAAACAAACTATTATCTTTTAT